AGATATTCTGGGGCCTTCTGAGACCTTGTCAGGGCTGCAATTTGTAAACCAGAGGTTTGCCCATTTCTTCTCTGAGGTACGTATTTGTAATCTTTTGCTTCCCCTGGTGTCTGTCCGCAGCATTGCAATTTCTCTGGTTTTCATAGCAGTGGACCCCATTCTCTTTTCCTTAGCGGTCTGCAGGCGCCCAGGTTATGCTTGCTGCATTATCACTTTGTCTCAGAAGAGGTAGATACTAGGCCTTCTGGCAGATCTCCCAAAATTCGGGCTCACTCCCTCAAGCTGAGCAGCTTCTCTGGATCGTGCTGAGCCACATCAGATGCAGCAAGCCGACCCCTAGCTCTCTTTTGTTTTCAGAGGCACCCAGGAATATCAAACATCCTGGCTCAGTTAGCATCCTGACTGAAGGGGCAGAACCATGTCTTTGGGCAATGCTAGTGCATGCTCCAGGATTTTCCTTCTTCCCAAGGGAAAAGCCTCCATTTGTTGCCTTCTTTCCATCCCACTGCATGTTGCTGGCTGAGCAAGCTTTCATGCACTAGTCTCTGTTCTCAGTGGCCATCAGGCATCCAAACTATCTAATTCCACCCGAGTTCTCATGGAGCATGACAGAAACCAGCTCCTTGTGGGTTCTTCCAAAAAGCTTGAACCTTGGACTTAATGCTTCCTTCCTCTTTTTAGCTGGGGTCCACTCTTCCAGTGCTGAATGTGTTCTATTTTTTCTATCTCACACAGATGTTTTGGGCTTTCTGTTTGCCTAGCGCAGTTCAACTTAACTGCACTTTGGAATTTTTATAAAGATGTTTGATCTGTGTTCTGTTAAATTCATGTTTCTCTGTAGGAACAAGGCCTGGGACTTCTTATTCTGTCATCTTATGATGTCAGTAGTCCACAATTAATTTTTAACTGCAGCTGAGTACTTGGAGATAATAAAACATGTTGGGCATTCACAATCATATGGTAAAAATACATTGGTTATGTGATTCCTCTAATCTTGGACTGATTCTTAGCATAAAATACCAGGGAATATGCTTATACAAACAGGATACAGGGATATCAAAGCTCACACTCATCTGTATCTGGCTTTGAATTTAGGAGTTGAAGAAACAGTGAGTCTATTTCTAATTAAGTTTCTAGGTTTCTTGGGTCAACTTTGTCTTAAATACTGAAGGATTCCTGGACAAATGAACTCAGAGGCACCATTGACTCACATTATTTTACAGAAGTCTGTAGGAATCATGGAAAATGGAAGACAATGGCAAATAAAGGCAGATGATATTTGTACTATATCTTTACTACTCATAATGTGCTAAGAAAAGTTTTGGAAAAATACATGATGGATCTGTTTTTATGTTTGTTATCTTTAAAGTTTTGGTTGGCCAAACAGCCAGCGTGAGTGCAATATTCATGAATTATGACTCCAACATTCTTGGTTGCTTATAAACTCTCAATGAGGGGCATGGGGATCTTTTTGACCTGAGTCTTGATAAATCTAGATGCTTTAAATACATTCTTTGTTATAAATATCTTCCATGTGATTCTCTAATTACCAGCTGCTTATGATTCATTGGACTGAAAAATTTCCAAATTCCTGGTAATTTCTTCATTAAAATTAGAAATACTTATTGGCTCCATGTTTTTTTTTTTTTTTTTTACTTGCTGCAATCCCAAATACAAAAACTTGGAAACCTCAAGATGATACTCTTTGTTTGACATTATATGAAATTATGTCTCACCAGAAATCAGACTTCAATCACTCTAGCTCTTTCATACCCTTGCTGCTACTGCGTGTACCCTTTGGTTTCATATACCTTAGTCAGTTCTTCCAGTATCAGTGAACTCCTGGCCTTAGGTTATTTTCTCTATGTAGTTCGAATTCATAATGGATGACCTAACCCCTCAAAGTAGGCTCTGTGGCCATGCTGTATGGCCATTATATGTTAACGTGTTAGAAATCACTATCTCAGGCACCCACCCCACTTGCATTTTAGAATCACTTTAATAAGATCCCTAGGAGATTTATATACATGCAATGGTTAAGCAAAGCCCTAACTTCAAAATATTTTGTAACAAATTTCTTTGACTCACACATTTCCTATCTGTTGCCATTACTAACCAAAGTCCATCCTGATGTGGCTCCCATTCACACTGACACTACATCCTTATATTTATCTCTTCAAAACCCTTGTGAGCAGATATATCTTCATCATCTTAGCAAGATCTTTAAGTAGTGTATGTTAGCAGCACAATTAATATTATCTGATGTTCTTCAACTTAGTCGCTACCAAGGTCATGAACCAATTACTAAGGTGCTAATGACATAGCAGGATCAATGAACTATTTCTTCTAAGATACGTGCTTCTTAACAGTATTCCTGAAGGCAGTGAATCTAACCTAAATCATTAACGTGGAGGCTATTAATTCTATTAGGTCAACTTCACTGGATTAAGAACTGCCTCACTAGCTGTTAAGCAGAGCACACTCCTGGGTACACCTGGGTAGGTCATGGAGGCATGGTTTTGGGTACTAAATATGCTTCTTTACCTGTTCCTCTCTGATGTTCTCCCCAGCTACTCCCTGAGCCACCATGAATTAAGTGGTTTTACTGCCCCGTGCCCTTCTGCCAATAATGTTCCTGCTTGGAGCTAGTTGACCATGGACTGAACCCCACAAACCATGAGCTAAGTCAGACCAGACCTCTCCTCCTGTAAGCTGTGAGTGCTGAGTACTGTCATAGAGAAGGGAAAGCTGATTAATCAAATGCAAAAGCTTGGAGTTTTTCAAAGTTTCACCTAAGAGGAAGTAATTCTGGAGGAAAGTAAATTCTTGTCTTCCTATTTCCCAGTACCTTGCCTACCACCGAAATCACCCAGATGTAATAACTGAGTATTTATCTTTTTAGTGTGTTCTCCCTGAAGGAGTACCTAACTTCAATATTTCTAAATATGGCAGAAACTGCAGAGCTCTGGAAGGACCCAGACTTAAATTTATGAAACAAGGGAAACAGTAGTGGAGGAGTTAGCAAGACTATCATTTTGTATTTTCTTGTAATTGCTTCTCTAGTCACCTGTCTTCTTCAATGGACTATAAATTGCCAGACTAGGGATGTCTGTTTTATGCACACAGAAGGCCTAGCCAGGTACCTTGCACCCAAACATGTTTCATGAATTTGGAAGAATAAATGATTTTAAATCACTGTTCCTGGCAGGACTAATACAGCGGCATGTCTTCAGCACCATGATCTGACAGTGCTAGTAGCTCACATTCCATCAGCAACAGTGCGTGTGTTCATTTCTGAAAGCCATGTCCTGACCAAACAATCTCTACCAGCCACCAACTTTCAGTGAGCCGCATTCAGTGTTTTCCAGGTTACGGCACAAAAGCTTGTAATACCCAGCTCCATCAGAGAAATTAGGCAACTGTAACACCACCTTCCAGACTGATTTGTCAAGAGCCCTGCCTTTCCCTACATAAGGACTAAGTGCTTCACAAAGGACTAAGTGCTTCACAAGTGCTTTCTCTTCTTTATAGAGTGAAAGAACATTAGCTGCAGATTTAATGTCACCATGCTTGTAATTTGCATGTGGATGAAAAGTTAACATAATGTAGAAATGTGGAATTAAACTGGTTGATTATGAGCAGCAGCTCTGCTAAGATCAGTTTCTCTCTCCTCATTATTCCACCTTTTGGCTTATTGTATTTGGTGCTTTCTCTCATTACTCACAAAATTGCAAAACACGTCCCCAAGGATGTACTAGCAAAGGGCTTCTGGAAAACGGTGTCTGGGTAGTTTACATAATGGGAACTAGGAAGCCACTGCTCTGCATTGTACAGAAGCCACTGCTCTCTCACTTTGCTAACTGACACATAGCGTTAGGAGAAGGGAGAGAGCTTCAGATGCAAAACTGAGTGAGGAATTTTTCAGGACGCTGACTTGTAGGTTTTCTTTCAGTTCAAGTGATGCTTATAAGAAGAAAGAGTAAGACTTTTAGTGAGACTGAATCCACAGTGAGAGCTATTTTGGTAAAAAGAAATGACATAAAAATTACTGTACTCTTAAGAGAGTATGAGGAGGGTAACAAAGGTCTTTCTAATGCAAAATTAGAAATAACTATTTTGGGAAAGTTGCCAGAGAAATTTCTTAAGTTTTGTTTGTTGATGAGATTGTAATCATGGTGCAATTTAATGTAGCTGTCCTTTTTCTTCTGACAGGAAGAGGTAAGGCAGAGCAGTGCCAGCTGGTCTTACCGGTTGCAATTTAGTTTGGGGTGTGAGTGGGAATGGTCTAAGCAGCACTGTGGCGTCCCTGTGACCTCTCCATGGCACTGTCCCCTCCATGCCTCATTACCCACGTGTAAGGACTTGCTATCACCACACACATTACCAAGCCGTTACTTCATCCAAAGGAAATAAAGATAACTGCATTTAGCCTCAGTGTTACGAGTCATTCAATGCAGCAGAGGGAAGAAGGGCATTTTAATCATACCTGCAAGAGGACAAAATGTAATTTAGAGATGAAAACAAGTGCTTTATAATTTGTCAAATCTTGGCTGCAGTGACACTAACTAGCTGTGTCATGAAAGTAGTAACAGAAAGTTTTCGCAGGTGACTGAACCCAACTTCAGCCTCTGCAAATACTGTATACGCTACAGTTATGCCCCACCCAACCCCCTCTTCTAGTCAAAGTCCTTTCAGAACTGGCGATTAGGGAAATGCATTTCTGGAATTAGGGCTTTAGGCACTGACTATACGCGGGGGTTCACAGATGAGTGAGACGGACAATGCACCGCTCTGCTGATGCCTTATAGATCCCTCCTAATTCTACGACGATCAGATTTAGAAGTGTTTTCCTCTCATCAAATCTAGTTTTTAGAAGTAATGGAAGTCTTCTTTGAACCAGCAATGAAGAAAAAAGTAGAAACAAGCTCTAGAGAATGCATGTACCAGAGAGGAAAAACATTCAAGTTGAAGCTGAAGCAAACAAAAAGCATGTGGCGATATATAGTTCTAATAAATTTTTTAATGAAGACCAGTAAGTCAAATCCTTTACACAACATATAAATACATACAATGCCAGTCCTTCCCGTGACAACACAACACTGCAGTGGGTCTCCTGAACACCCCAAACATGGCTTTATATTTATAGGTGAGAACTAGTTCTAACACCCAACAGTACAGAACCCTCAGAAATGTGCTCTTCTCTGTTCTGGGAAAGCAGAAATGGAATCAAGATTCAGTTTGAGTAATCAGGTGTCTACAAATGAATCCTGGTAGCCAACAGTGTATAAATAAATGTTCACTGTTCACGATTTTTATTTCAGAATCAACTGGTAAAAAGCAGGGTATCAAGAGACTGGACACAAATGAACCTGAGAATATAGAATAGAGTGTATCTTGCAATTCAGTTATTTAGGGCAATCTTAGCAGGGAGGGAATAGCCTTAGGTCCCCTCCTTACCTAGAACTCTACCTACCATGGAGATTTTTGATGATAAATAATTGAAACCGACACAAAAGATGAAAAAGAGCCAGCTGACGCTAAGGAATAAATTCAGATGCAAGTCACACCAGATGGGGGCTATGGCAATGTGCATGACTATGTTCACACTTTCACATGGTGAGAGTTAACCACTGCAGTTTCTCACCACCACACAAACAGAGATCACAGGATAAATGAACACTGCTTGACAAGCGTTGAAGGTCTCACTACCTAGTCTTTGCAGGGAGGTAAGGGATGCTATGGAAACAACTTCTGTGAAGTTTTTTTTTTTTTTACTGAGAAGGAAAGTATCCGAGGGACAAGCATAGTACACATACAGCTACAAAAACGATGCTGCTTCCTTTTGAAGTTAAGAAAGTCAGTGGAAAAGTTTCTCTTAGTCACTACCATGGTGTTAAGGTACTGGTCTTGGCTTTGTTCCCTCTGCCTGAGTTTAAAATTCTATCACAATTTTCTTAGTTTTTAAGTGTAAATAAAACAAACAATGGCACAAATATCTGGTCAGTTTAGTAACAGTCTTAAAAAACTTGAGTTGTGTTTATGTTGGTGAATTTTTAAATAGAGGATGATAGCAACTATACTATAATCCAAATATTACCAAGAATCATATACACAATGTTCCTCTCCCTGCTTTGAGGTCTGCTTCCCGGGGTTAAATTAAGGAAGAGGCTTGGGGAAGCAACTATGATCAGGTCTCCCTGGGCTCAGGCAAAGTGTGTTGCTCATTTTCCCTCACTTAGTAACTTGATGAGTAGCTAAAAGCACAAGCACAATGTAGTAAGACTTTTTTTTTTTTTTGATTTTTCTCCGGTACTGGGAATCGAACTCACGACCTTGCGCTTGCCAGGCAGGCACTGTGCCACTCAGCTAAATCCCCAGCCCTGTAGTAAGACTTTTAACTAAGCCAAATGATCTTTATTAAGTTGGACACCCAGCCAAAGGCAAATGAGCTCTGCTGTGCATTCCTTTTACATATTCCTGCAATGCCAACACTGCCGATCTGAAACTTGAACAAGGAAAGAACACCTGCACACAGCTGAGCAGGAGCATTTCAACCGTCTAAGAGGCACGGGGTCCTGACTCCCACGAGCCACAGAGGGAGTACTTTACACCGAGGCACTGAACAAGTGGGCTGCTTTGTGGACCCTACTGTCAGTAGCCCTTAAAGGGCCAGAGAATTTCCAATATTAGCTATTTTGGTGCCAAACAGAGAAAAATAACAGGATTGCTATCCATAGGAACCAGCATACACTGTGGGGATTTGGTTTAAAGTTCCAATAAAAATGGCACATTTTTGTGACCAAGAGAGCTATGAAATAGGCACATTTAGAGTTCTCCGACCATGTTGTTTTAAAGTCACATAATGTTCTAAAATCAGTCAAAAAGTGTCTCCCTTGCCTGGGAAAGGCAGAAAAGGAGGAGGGGAGAGCTAATAAGTCGAAACATTGTACATAATTTGAAGCACCAGGAAGTCTTCATTCACCATAGAAAAGCCAGTTCTCTGGCCTTGGACTGATGAACTGTTCAGCCTGGGACATGCAAAGACTCATTTGTTACCAGCGTGGACTCTGGGTAAATATCTCCTAATAAACATTTTCGGTTAAGACCTTAATATTCTTTTTCAAATTACTGGCTCTACAGCGTTTCCTTCCTGCTCCTTTTACCCAGAGGTAGAACACAGTTATTACTTAGTGAAAAGACCAACGTTAGGCAAACTGACAGGAATAAATTTTAGGGATCTTACTAAACAGCCAGCACTGAAGGATGGTCACTGCGAAGGGAAACACAAGCCCAAGTTTAGGGTTCAGCGGAGCAGGGCAGACTCGAGTCCGTGGTCACAGTATGCGCACACGGAACACCTGCGTCCCGACTCACGGGAATACCGAAGAAGAAACATAAATAAATCCGAGTAAATACTTCAAAACTACACTCGATTATTTTAGAGAAAACAATAAAATGTTAATATTAGCTTATCTTGAACTAACTTTTAAGTCGGAATGTTCATGACAACCATCATGTTTTAGTTTTTCATTAAAACGCTGGCATCCAGGAAGCTGGATGCTTCTCTGACAAAGTGGCAAGCAAGGGAACTGAAAGATGACACTAAGGTCCTGAGTCCCATTTACAATTCTTGAAATTTTTCTCCCGGAAGCACACTTTTATTTTTGTCCCCTTTCATGATCAACCCCATAGAGAAAAGCAAGCCATACAACTGCTTTACTGTTAGAGGAAGAATGCTATATAGTAGGGGCTGGAAGGCGCATTCAACAACACTCACATATTTAAGTTTGCTTATTATACTTAGTTTCTTTTAAATATTTTTAGAACAGAAACAGATGCTTATATTTATCATTTTAAATAAGGTAAGATTTCCTCCAAGTTTTGAAATACATAGATGACCTTAAAATATTATACTTATCACCTGTCTTTCCTGTCAGAAGAAACTCAAAAGTTAATTCTTCCTTGCATACTTTCCAATACAGTGAAAGTAAACAGTAAAAAATGAAACTAAGACCAATTCTGGGAAAAAAAAAAAAGGAACCAGCTAACTCAAGCATACGATTGGAGTCTATGTTTCTGTCCAAAGCAGCCAAAGCATGGGGCCAGGTGGGACACACAGAAAGGGTCTGCTCTGAGTTGCAGGGGCCGTGCTGTCCTCTCACAGTTCAAATGCAGGGAACTTGGCTTTGCTGGGGACGAGCAGATCCGCCAGGAAGTATATGGTTCCCGCCATCCCTGAAAGAGAGAGGTGCAAGTTACTATACCAAATGATTGCATTCCATAGAGCCGCTCCACTTTTTAAATCACCAACATTACAATAGTAATGACAGTGGCTGAAAGGAACCAAAATCTGTATTTATGCACTTTGCAGACTGAGGCCAGATGAACTCCCTAGTGAGTGCTCAGCCTTTTTATTCAGGGTAAGACAGTAGAGAGAAGGAAGCCAGGTAAGTCCAAGTCACTGCCTGTCCTCTGCCACAGTGAGCACCTTGGCCATGGCGCAGTCTGTTTATCTGTGAGGCGAGGACAGTAATGCTTGATGACTTTGCTGAAATGATTTACAATGACATCTGTAAAATGTTCAGCATGTGCCCAGCTCCATAAATGGCAGTTACCACTGTGACTACTAGTATTCAGTCTGTGGTGAGACGTGCTCATTTTTAATACTGACCTGTCATATTAGGAAATAAAGAAGCAGTGTAAGTAATGACTATAAATTAATTTGTTGCTACAACTGAATTCAAATGTGTTAATTAGCAAGCAGGAAAGAAGCTGCTAATAAGGAAAATAAATAATGTGTGAAAAATACCTTCGAAGAGGGAGAAAGGCGTGTCTGGGGTCCTGCACCCATGTTCTCCATAGTCTAAGCACCATTCAGCAAACTGAAAATAAAACCAGGTTAAATTACTGGAGTGATTTCTTCCTGAGACTCTAACAGTTGACAGAGATGGTCTTTAAGGACTACTCTGAAAAGTAAGATAGTATCAAGTCAGGGAGGAGGGACTAATGCCCAGAAAACTGGACGGTCCACTCTACAAGAAGAGTATGTAGTGGGAGGAATTTAATGAATTGTGTGATCCAGGGATTGCCAAGGTTACCAAGAAGAAGGGAACACAAATCACCCTACAGCTTTATTTTTTCTTCCATAAATACTATTGAGTAGAATTACGGCCCATTAGATTTTGAAAGTTTTTCTAAAAGAATATGCCTGTTACTTGTAAACGCGTGTCTTAAAAAACTAAATTCTTTTTGTTTTTGTCTTTTCGAGACAGGGTCTCACTATGCAGTTTAGGCTGGCCTTGAGTTCACTTTGTAGCCCAGGCTGGTCTCGAACTCACAACGATCCTCCTGTTTCAGCCTCCCGCTGCAACGCCTGGCAAAAACTAAATTCACTGAATCAGATGAGTTACAGTCTTCTCCTGAACCTCCTGAGGGGCTGCTTTGCTGCTGGCAGTCTCACTCCTACCTTACAGGCCCTGTACAGGTACTTCCTGTCCTGTGTGAGGTTGTAGAGCGTCAGGAAGGCATAGGCATTCCCTGCAGCGCCGTGGCACAGCCCGTAGCCCTTCTTCAGCAAGCCATACTGCCAGATCACATCGGTACACTGGTAGGCATCGCAGAGGTACTGCTCCTCTCTGAATACCTGAAGGGTTGAGGGACATGAGTTTCATTATAAGGATGTAAAAGCAAGTCCTACTGACATCCCTTCCTGCTAGGAAAGGAGAGGAGATGGGGAAGGGAAGAGAAGGAGGTGGCTTTGCAAGAAAAGGTAGGGATTTTAGCGAGAGAGAGATGTGTTATATCAACAGTGCCAAATTATTAAAGCTGATCAGCTTTGCTGTTTTTAACTAACTGGGAATGACCTTGTCTCTAGAATCTTGCATCGTGTCACTGATGAAGCAGCATTATTTAACCTGAGCTTGCTATCATCATTAGCCTTTTTCCAAAGAGCACATGCTCACTTCTCTCTGCTACGCTTCGCCCTTAGGAAGTTTATTCACAGACCAGAGAAGAAACTCTCAGCTGTTAATATGCAAGTTGACTGTAAAGCACTAACCTTTGTTAGAAAAAGAAACCTTAATCATCCTTTGATGCCTTTTATCAAAAGGCATCTTGATCCAAAATTTAAAGTAAAAGTATTCTGAGTAGATTATTCAAAGTATCCTTAAAAGTAGTACAAGGCAGCTGAAAGTTTTTCCCTTTACACTTAACTTTCTGAAATGAATTTGATATAGTAAAGCTAACTTATGAGATGTCAGTGTCTATCTACAGTCTAGAGATTTATAATTTGTTAATTTGGCACCAATAGTCACCAGTAACTGGGCTTCTCTTTTTTTCAATTAAGGATCTTTTCGTTCTTGGTTATAGTTCTGCTACAGCAAGCTTTTTAGGAGTGGTATTTATATTTTTTTTTGTTTTTGTTTTTGTTTTTCTCCGGTACCGGGAACCGAACTCACGACCTTGCGCTTGCCAGGCAGGCGCTTTGCCACTGAGCTAAATCCCCAGCCCCTATATTTTTTTAAATTGTAGAAAATGTACATAGTATAAAAGTTACCATTTGAACAATTTTTAAACATAAAATTCACTGGCATTAATTAGATTCACAATGTTAGATAACCACCATTACTATGGATGTGCAAGACTTTTTCTAATTCCCAACAGAACCTGCATCCATTAAGCAATACATCAATATCCTTCCCCTGGCTCCAGGTCCTGGGAACCTCTATTTTCTGTCACTATGAATTTGCTTACTCTTCCCACTTTGTATTAGCCACCCCTTTGTGAAAGTGGAGTCACAAAGTTTATCCTTTTGTGCCTGGCTAATTTCTCAGCATGTTTTTAAAGTTCATAAGTTGTGGTATGTATTTGAATTTCATTCTTAAGACTAAATAAATCCCACTGCATGTGTACATAACGTTTTCTTTTTCTGTTCATCTGTTGATGGATACTTGGGTGATTTCTATCAACCGGCTTAGCAAGAATCTATTATGAGTACTGGCACACACCTACCTGTTTGAATTCTTGGTTTTAGTTTTAGTGCATGTACGTCTATGTGTGGAACTGTTAATGTAAATTATATATTACTTGAAGGTTTAATTTTTTGAGCAACCACAACTGTTTGCCATGGTAGCGACACCATTTCATGCTTCTACCAGCAACGAGGTTTCCATTTTTCACTAATGTTCTGAGTCACTCAGCTGTGCCAGATGCCCTTGTCTTGGTTACTCCACCTATCATAAAGCAATCTCCTGCTCTGTGAAATAATGTCTGCTAAAGTACAATGGATACTGTGAGAGTGAATTATAACATCATTTAGCAAAGTGATCTAAGGTCCAACAAGTGAATTTTATAATCCTGTAAGCATTATAAAACCAATTTTAAATTATAAATTTTTTTGTTTTCTAGTTTTATTCTTTTAACTTTTTTTTTTTTTGGTACCAGGAATCGAGTTCATGACTTTGCGCTTGCCAGGCAGGCGTTGTGCCGCTGAGCTATGTCCCTGGCCCCAGCTTTTTTCTTTTAAATGAGAAAACATACAATACCTTATAGGCCTGGGTGAGCATGTAGATTACCCCAGGAGCGCCGTGGCACCAATGGACAAGCAGATCTCGATTATCTTCCAGACATGGAGGATAATTGCCAGAAGGGAATTTCAGCTGGCAGACAAAGTCTACACTGGGCTTGACCAAACTATGTAACTTTGCTTGGCTCACTTGCAGGCTGGGCTAAAAATGAGAAAGAATTATTACTAGTTCTGCTGTAGTGAACAGATCTTCCCAGGACCCAGCATGCATTTTAAACCAGAAAACAAAACAAAACAAAACTTGAACTAGAAAGTCATTAAAAAGCCTTGGATTTTATCCAATTTTTTTTCCACCTATCCCAACATATTGGTTAACCTTATTTTACTTTACAATTTTTAAGTAATAGAACAAATTAAATTGGGCCATTAGTTAACTCAGGGCCTTCTGTGTGCATTAAATTTCAATATTTGTTACTTATATACATACAAATAAGTTTCCTAATTCAGTGCTTCAGAATGTCAGTGGAGATGTCTCCTAAAATTTCAACGCCTAAAGCATGCTTTAAGGGCATAAAGAGATGCAGTAGATAACAAAGCAAATCTTTAACACTACATTTAGAGAAGTGATTCGGGATATTTTCAATAGAAAAGGACTCCTAGCATCTAACGTCAAACTGCAGCATGATTTTAGATCAAATCTTTCTGCAAAGGATTTAAAACCAATCTATACGTAGGATCAGTGTGAATGATGTTCAGACTTACAGGACACACTGACTTAGGGCACATGAGCTCCCATCTTTGATATAATTTCTTAATTTCTCTCTTTGCTTCTGTTCTTAATTCAATGTATTGCTCACTCTTTAAACAACAAATCCAAAGCTGTGCTGTCAGCAGAGGGGGTGGGGGTAGGCCTTGGGCGGGGTGGACGGAGTGAAGCACAGGCAGGAGGAGGTGCTGGGAATGGAGAGACACTGCAGTTTTGAGAAGATCCTGAATATGTACTGAGTTCTTCAGAGGACACAGAGGTTGCACTTCAGATAAAGAACAGTGCTGAAGCTCAATTTACAGTGTTAGAGTTGAATGGGAAAACTTTCAAGTGTGATCCAACACGGCCTAAAAGTAATATTGGTTTATTTTATGTTGGTACAAAGGCATACACTACAGTGGACTTTCAAGAAAAAAAATTAAATCATTCCAAATGTATAATACCCTACAAATGGAAAAATCAATACTTGAGCTTTCAGAGAGCTAACAAAAACAGGCAGAATGGAGGATGTCCCCTCCAGGACCTGTTAAAGAAAGGTCAACATGGCCATCTAGTCACTGATGTGCGTCCTTCTAACTCACCTTGAACTTCAGAAGACAGAACTCCTTTTCTGGTAACTTTTAAGGATCTACATGTGCTTTGGGAAAGAGAGAGCTCCCAAGGGAATGTGCCAGGAAAATAAGGGAATTTAAGCTTAAATTGTCAAAAACTCTGATTATAAAACTAGTTGAGAAATTCAGAATAAATAGAACTGTTTTGGGATTGCCAGTAACAATCCAAGTGTGACTTTGTATTCCAAAGCACTAATAACTTTGAGTTTTTTCACTCTGCTCTCATTATCTAGTTACAGGCAGAGGAAAGGCCTGAGTATGATTTTGTATTACACAGCCAGCTGGTAGCATGGACATCCAAGCAGTCATGCTGAATATATTAATGCAAAGCTTTATGTGCTTTGGGAAGGTGAGGGTGGTAGTTCTGCTGCCATTAATAAATCAGTTTTTTTTAATTGCAGTGAGTTCTACTTGTCCTTCGTCATCTGACTTTGACTGATGTCTCTAAGTGTTATCAAAACCTAAGAAGTGCTGGGAACAGTACACTGAGCTATTTTTCAGGTATGTTACAAAACATTCACTAAAAGGTCTCCTCAGCTTTGCTATGTGAGCCTCAGGCAACATGTGCTCATTTGTTTTCTATTGATTTTGTTTCAATGAGTTGTACCATATAGTGCAGAATAATATTCTTAACTCAAGAACTTGCTGAAAGACAAGAACAAAAGGGTACTCCATATAGGATTATGGTCAAAATAGCTTGTACAAGCAGCACTGAGTTGGCAAGTGTGGTAACAGTCAAATCAAACGTCATGAAGCAGTGCCTTTCGTGTTAATACACTTCAAAATGCATGTGGGTCAATGTTTCTTTGTCTAGGTCAAGTGGTTAAAAGAAGTATGATATGGCAGCTGACAGGATAAAACACTGCTGCAGGATTTGTCTTCTCCCCTAAGCCAGGATGGTCACCAGGAAGCACACTTTAAAGTCTCACCATCTGCACCCCTTACCTGCATCAGGTAGTAGTATATTCCTGCCAGGCCGTGAGCAGCCCCGACGTAATATTCCTGGTACCATTCATACATCAGTGGAGACTTTGCCGTGAAGTTTCTCTTTCTAGCTAGATTTTCTCCAGAGGTTAAAACTGTTTCACAAATCTGTAGGGAGGAAGCCAACCAAAATAATAGGAGGCAAAGGAGTTTTTCCATAAGGGGCACCAAAGAACTGATAGCAAATTAAATACCATCTTCCAGCCGCAAGAGCACAGTGTACCTCTGTTTCACACAAGTGACTGTGACTATATCCTGCCTACAAGAGTTTACCTATTAAAGCACAGCTGGGTGTGGTGTGCAGGCTTGCAATCCCAGCAAACTGGAGGCTGAGGCAGGACAATCTCCAAGATTTCGAGGCCAGCCTGGGTTACACAGTGAGTTTGAGGTCAGCCTGCACTGCACAGTGAAACCCAGTCTCAAAAAATCAAAATAAAGGAAAGTACAAACTGGGCACAGGAGGAGATACCTGCACCTGGGAAGTGAAATCTAGCCTAGTGTTCCCTGAAAGGGTCTCTAAACTCTCAAGTGGAGCAAGTTCCAACTCCAAGTCCCTCCCTCCAGTGATTCCAGGAGCACTGGAAGCTGCTGGTGCTCAGGTTGTGCCTGACCTCTAAAGGTCAAAATACATGGCCTTTCTGCCTGGGATGTGCTAACTGGAAAAACAAAGACAATGGTTTAGGCAGAGAATAAAGCAGTGGGATTCTAAAAAGCCTAAATGCACAAAAACATGGTACCTGCTGAATATGGCTTTGAGGAATTTTTTCTGTTCCAAAGTTCTTATTGACAAAAAGAAGAGCATAGATGTAGCCCATTCGTCCATACAGCATTTCATTTGGAGCATGGGGATCGATCTTATTTAGGTGAATCAGCCTAGGAATAGAAATATATGTCTAAGATAATCTGAAAGGGACTGACACATCCATGTATGAAACGCTCAAAGTTCAAAGGTAAGTCCTCCATGAAATCTTTCCTCACAGTGGAACTGCTGAAAATCTGATGAAGGAAGAAATACAAGTGCGTGGCTACGGCTACCTCGTCCCTCACAGAGGCACGCCCCAAGACTAGTACTCAAGCAGCTGGGTGCCGAGAAACAAACAACTGCTAGTTGTTGTAGCATTGAAGACCCAGGAGAAAGGACTAAGTCAACACTCAAGGGCAATTTTCATAAAAAGAAATGCTTGCTACCTCTCACTGATTTCCTTCCTTGATTTATTTCTTAATGGGATACCAGTCCTACGGGAAGTGCCCGTCCAGCAGCCTAAGCTACCCAACCAGTAACACATGCAGTGGCTCAAAAGTCTCAGCCTCTGGCTCTTACCTTCAGAAGCAACCTTGTTTACCAACTCTATCCCCACATGTTCTCCAGCTTGCAATTTAACCATACATCTTCACAACCACCATATCGGCACAGAGTACTCTCACCTGTTACTGACAGACTCAGTTCAGTTCTGGGTCCAGAAAGATGGAGTAAGCTCACTTCACCTGCCTCTCCCACTCAACGTAGTCCTAAATGGTTCTGCACAGCTATGAGGCAGCTATGTGAGAACTCTACAAGTAAGCAGCAGGCAGACTGGGGAAGACCAGAATTTGAAGAACCACCAAACAGTGTGAGTTTATCACTTTTTCCCCTAGCCCGAACTCAGTACTGCACAGGTAAAACCTAGACTGGGCAATAGGGAGGACAACAGAGAGCTGCTGAAGGATCCCTTCAGGTCTCTCAGTGACAAAAAGGATACAAATTCCCTTTGTTCTCATGCCCCAGGCCACAGGTAATACCATCACAGGAACTCAAAGGAGTCAAAACTCTGAGGGAGGGAGCCTTTCGTACAGATCCCAGGAGCTGTGGTTCCAGGAAGGAGGGGAACCTCACTGCTTTACCTGTCTCTGTCCTCCAAATCACCTGGCTCTAGAAGCAGGCATGGGGGATGGGGCAAGGTAAAGCAGGGTAACCGAAGCCCCAGCTTCCTTGACAAAGGAGCACAGAGGGAAGGCCCAGGGAATCAGAAAGCAGAGGAGAACGGAGAGAAAATAAATGTGGCAAAGAAACCACATTTGGGCATCTGAAACCTGTGAATGAATCTTGTCTTCTGTGTGGGGGTCATGTGGCAAACTGACAGGAAAAATGTCCCTGCTCATTGAGATTACTTATCACATTAAGTTTTGAAAGTGCATCTCAATTTTCCCTACAATAGCCTATGAGTTCACTGTGATCCCACTTAAGTTATTAAAACATTTACAGCTTTGGTGAAACTTGACACAATGATATTAGTAAAAAGAACTAGGGAATTTCTGGAACACTAAATTCATCTGGTGATTTGTGATACTCAACAAATTAATCCCTATTCATAAGGTTTCTCACCTATAAAATGAATGAGTCTTCTGAGTTAAAAATTCTGTCATTTGCTCTCTGTGTAGAAATTTAATTCTGAAGTAGTTAGAAACAATGGGCTGTGCCTTGTCCATCTAAATTTATTCTGCACACTAGAGAGGGTCAATTAGCACCGAAGTATCAGAGATCATGACTATGAGGTGCTTGGTTACATCTGAAATACTCTTATTATCAACCAACATCCAGAGGTACTCTACATTAAACTCTGTACTAGCACATTTGTTAATAAGTGTAGTAAAAAATGTTTAGAAAATGGTTTTCACTGATGGGATGAGCAGTAGTCACAGGCTAGAGGTGTGGGTGATGGCACAAGCTTTCTCATCCTTCCACGGATAGGATCTAAGAGAGCCTTGAGGACAACGTGGGTTTCTCGGTGCTACAAGAACAGGGTAGGGGCCTACGTATGTATGTGGGTCTTCTTCTAAGGTTTGTCCATCTGGCAGAATAGGTCAGGGTACAGCTGAGGGGTTACATATACAGTCCCACAACTGATCTGCGGAGACGCCCACAGTTACAAGACGCCCAAAGCAAGAACAAAAGAAACCCAAGGAAACTAAACTAAGACAACGGGCTACTGGCACATCTGCAATAGGTTCAGTGAAAATGTCCTACCTGTGAAAGGAAAAATAACCCTCATTTCAAATCCCCTTCCTTACCATTTTCGTAAGCTATAGCAAAGGAGAGCATTTAGTGTTTCAAATGAAGAGGACATGTGTCAGTAACAGGAGGAGCTGATTTTAGTGACTGAAAGTGGCTGACAGTTATGAAACAGGGCCAAGAAGAAGGTACAAAAGAGGCTGGAAGGGAACCTATTCCCCAGAAGGAAAGATGGATTTAAAGCAGCATGGCTAGTTGCAGTTTTTTTCTTTTATAATATAGGAAAAAAGCTCACATGCAACAAAGGTTATTGTAAGAATATGGTCACCATGTTCAGGTTTCTATTGTCATGTAATAGCTTATTTGATCTTCGTTCAATACGCACAGTGCTATACAGGTGGCAGGATATTTGGCTATGTACTTCAATACCACATACAGGTGTATACACGCACACATATACCTACACCCCTATTTGTGTGAGTGTGTGATGATGTGTGTCAAATCCAGGACCTCATGCATGCTAGGCAAGAAATCTACCACTAAGCTACATCCCTAGCCAGCCCTTAATTTTTTAAAGGACTGAAAAACATTTATTAAGAAAATTATAATATTTTTCCTTGTGCCAGAATTGGCAGTTCAATTAACACTGAGACCACAAGGAAACAAATCTGTTTACTAGTTAAAAACTCAACTATTGTAGTAAAAAAAATTAATGTCTCAAGTTCAGCTAAGAACCCACTATCTGTATCTGTGTTTCTGTTCCCATTTTCCTGGCCGCGGAGGGCTGGGGGATGACAGTATGCGGAGCTTTCTTCTGCCTAACATATATCATGTCTGTTTTTGCCCTTCCTGCTGCACAGAGATATTGGTGGCACAAAACAAATATAGAGCTTTGCTATTTTGTACCCAATTAGGTGTGAGTTTTAACAAATGTTCAACTGTATAGAACTCAAACATAAAAAAAAAAACAACTTACTTTTGTAGAGGAAATAGAAAAAACTATTCAAAAAAGTAAAATTTATGTTTAGTTTTTAGGCAAATACTACTTAAGAAAGTATTACTCAGAACCAATAATGCAAGGATACATTATTAGCAAAACGAAATGCTTGAACCACTTTTTTTTAGAAAACATTGGTCTTGTAATTGCCAATGTTATCGTGCTACCGTAGCATCCCACTAGGTGGCGATACAAAAACAGTAAACCAAATTCGTATTTGCATTTTGCAGCCAAACTCATTTGCATTTGTGCTGTTCACAGTAGGTAGCTGTTATGGTTTGTGTCCGAATGTCCCCCTCAAAGCCTCATGCAGTCATGGGGCGGGCTTCTGGTTTATGACTGATCCATGATTCAATGCTGGGATTATGCTTGTGAGAGCTACACCTGCCCTGAGGCTTGCATACAATGTAAGGGAGGGAAAGAGGCTGCTTGCAGCTTCTCTCCTTGTGCTTGTTGCTTTTTTTATCGTCCCTGCCATGAACTGTTGCCCTCTGCTATGTGCCACCCTGCCTTGGAGCCAGCTGAGTATGGACTAAAATCTCCACAAATTTTGAGCTAAATAAACCTTTCCTTCTTAATTTTGGGAGTTGGGTATTTTGACTCAGCAATGAGAGGAAAGTAACCAAGACAGTAGCAAACACCTTTCAAATACTAAAAATAAGGTACTGCTCAGAGCCAGCACCTTATAACAACAATAAAACTTAACGTAGTAAGAGAAGTATTTTTTTTCTGGATTTGAATACAAATTACTAAGGCTTAATTGGGTCTAATGATTACTAATAGTAGGATTTTTTAATGCTTGAATTGCATGCTACACTTTCAAGATAAGTATGTGACAGCATTCATAAATCACAATGGTTATACGTTTGAAGAAACTTTCAAACCCATAAGAACATCGCTGTAGCTCCATTTACTTGTTTTGATGTGCTGATATTAACAGCAACCAATCTTTAGAAGAGATAAGCAAGTCACTGAAATGTTAGTGAAGAATAAAGACATATAAAATTAGTATAGTTCTGTTCCATTCCTAGCAATATTTCCCCAGGGTGTTGTTGGGAGAGGTTTTTTTTCCTTGTATTATATTGAAAGATTTGTAAAGTTTAAAAAAAAAAAAACAGAAGTCCTTTTCTGGCCCATCACACTACAAAGGAGAGAGGTTATACATTTCCTGACCAGAGAGTCGAAGTTCTTCATCATCCTAAGTACCGGCCCCGAAGTACTATATATGTCAAGCTGGTCACCTAATTGGGTACAAAATAGCAAAGCTCTATATTTGTTTTGTGCCACCAATATCTCTGTGCAGCAGGAAGGGCAAAAACAGACATGATATATGTTAGGCAGAAGAAAGCTCCGCATACTGTCATCCCCCAGCCCTCCGCGGCCAGGAAAATGGGAACAGAAACACAGATACATACTCCTTTTGGGGAGTCAGGGACCCCTCCAGGAGAAGTGCATGTCCTCTCTCCACACTGAACATAATCTGGGGTTTTTATCCACGGCTGGAAGCTTAAAGGTTCCCAGGGGCCTAGGGCTAAGAATCGCTTTCCAAGGCAAACACTGGCTTCTCTGGATTTCAGTTCCTTTGTGTAAGCTTTAGGTTTTTGATAATTTCAAAGGCCTTTATGGACTCTAAAACGCAAAGTGATGGTTCTGAAAGGTCATTACATTAGGAAGGTACAGGAAAGGTAAGCTGCAGTGTGTCCCTGGCAGTGGAGCACAACAGAGACCAACACAAAAAATCTGAGGACAGGTAAATCCCAAAAGGGGCGTGATATGAAGGAGCAGCTTTGAGAAAAGGAAAAGCAGCAGGTGTAGTAAGCATCTATGATATAAAACAATCTTGTATTTCCTGAAATGGAATTGAAAAGAATTACATATTTTTCCACTAAAATGGAAGAGACATTAAGAATGAAGCAAGTGCTATAATTTAGAATAATTATCTTTTTTGCCTTCTGTTCTGCCACGAACTTCAAAAAATCTTGTAAGTCAAATGTCATAAGTCACATGGCATATTTTTCTATCATATATCCACATTCTGTATTTTTAACTTTAACAAGCCTACTGACTATGAATAAAATCCTGTGGAAATGTCACACAAACTTTAAAAACATAAAGAAAAACATCTTTATTACCAAGGTATCCTAAAAAGAATCTCAGGTTACACTTCAGAGTGTTTTAATTTTAATAACTAATATTAATATATGACCATTTCCAAAAGAAAGTTTCTTCGCAGAGGCCCTCAGGATGCAGAAGCGGGTTTGTGCGCATGAGCAAGCTTGGCAGGTGCTGCTCCCTAGCACTGCAGAGCATAGTGTATAAGCTACTGAGGGCTCTGAGCAGCCAGAGCTTGACTACAACCCCCAATCTGAATACATTATTTTCTTCAAACATCTATTCGCAAACTATCGTTACTTGCCTATGCATATTTAGGGAGAGAATAGCACTATATATAAGACATTGAGATCACTGTAATTTACTTTGACGGTACTTAAGAGTGGTTCACAGAATGAGACTATCTTGCGGACCTCATGTGGCTAATAGCTTGAAACTGGCCATGCAAAAAAAAAAATAAAAAGGTAGTTTCTGTGTTTCAAATTTAAGTACAGAACAGTTTCTGCATTGGCTGGTTATATGCAAGTCAACTGCTATGGGAGAAACACACTTTAAACTTTGGAGGAAGTCAATGTTTTGTATTACCCATCCTTTTGGTCAAGTGTAGTGACATATTTTATACTAAATACTGAAGTGGAATGTTCACAGTTTTTTCTATCTACATTAAGTCGTGTTTTTTTTTAAATTTTAAATTTTACTACATGATTTGCAGCTTGTGATAGACACAGGATAGTGGTATGTAAAAAAATATGTAAATTCAGGGACTGATTTAATACGAGTCACAAACCATTATAGGCAACCCATTGTAACCCCTGTGTTATAATTTCCAATGGAAAAAATCAGGTAACAATAAGAAAATATAACTACTGTATGGGAAAAATTGGGGGAGAAGGGAAAATTTGCATAGGGGTAGATGATTCCTTTTCAGATATTAGACAACCCTATCTTACAATGTCCAAAAAACCTGATAAAATACACAGTACCACACATACAGCAGTCCCTCGGCATCCATGAGCAGTGGTGCCAGGACCATCAAGAGATACCGAAATCTGCAGATGCTCTAGTCTCTCATATAAAACGTGTGCTGGCATATAACCTATGTACATTCTCCCACATACTATAAATTATTTCTGGACTATTAGTAACGATTAATATAATATACATGCTACGTAAATAGTTGTTGTATTGTTTAGACAATAACAACATGGAAGAAAGCTTGGACAAGTTCAGTACACAATTTTTTTTCTCTAATACTTGTGATCTATGGTTGACTGCATCTGTGGATATGAACTTGTACCTATGGAGGGCCAACAATGTAAGATTACCCAGGGCACCCTCAACAAACTAAACTTGTGATGGTAATGCCATTCTAACAGTAACTTGTAAGAAAGAATAGTGGAAATAAAAAACCATGGTCAGTTCAGGGATGATCCTGATTGTAATACTGCTCAAGTTGCAACTCTGCACCTGTCAGTACTAGCATGGTAACTGGGAGCCCCAAAGCTCTATGTGCACACTTTCAAGCAAGCAGATTTCTTAGAATTCAAAAGAGTGCTCAATAAACTCTAGTAAGGCAATAAATACAGCATGGTAAATTAGGGATTCCTCATTATTTACAAGGCTGTAGTGGACTGTCATGATTTATCTAAAAATGAGTCTATATTTGTGTGCCACTGCCTCTCAGAAAGACAGTCTTTAATCAGTCTGTGCTTCCTCAGGAGGCCTCCTTGAGCCCACGTGCAAGATGTGAACTACATTTCTTGGAATTACTGAGTCTGGGGAGTGCACGTTGGATTAGTACTCACATGAGTAGGCTTTTGAGCCCACATTCCTGAACACAACAGCATTTTATATCTTGCAATAAAATAGGGATTCCAACGATTTTTCCTTAACTATAACACAGGAATAACATGAGCATTTATCCAATGCAGGAGTACAATTTATCTGCTGAAACAAAAATAAACTCGCTAAAATGCTTTTTGTTACATGTACAGAGCATATAACGATGCCTAGGTGTTAACCTTCTTGAAGAAACATGATTACCGTGTGATGCAGTCCTCCGCCTGCTTCTCATTGTTCATCTTGTGATACAGCACGGCAGCCACTGCCAGGGGGCCTGCATCCCCGCACAGGAAGGTGATGGAGCGCTTGCTCAGGCAGTTCAGGCTCTGCTTCACATAGCTGTGTGCCATCTGCAGATAGGCAGGGTCCCCGAACACATCGTGGAGATGTAAGTACAGCACAGCAATGCCTAGGAGGCAAAAGGCACGCAATGAGGAAAGGGCGGTTGACTTTACTGTTCTGCCTACTCAGAGGTGTGGGTTTGTTTTTGACAAGCTGTAGAAAATAAGTAAATTATCTGCAAGTTCGTATGACTTTAGTTCTAGGCTCAGTCCTATTGCCCAGCAGCTAGGAAGCAAGAATAGGTAAATTACTAACTTGTCCTTGGTTCCCTCACAATTGCAATTTTGTTCAATAAGGACACAGACTTTGGGCAATGAAGAGAAACAAATTGATTAGTTGCCCTTTTTGCATTCTAGCTGTTGTGTTAATGTATTATTCTTAATGGCTAAATGATAGGTTATGAAACTAACGATGGCCCCAAATAGTACTCTATTTAATGACTAATAGTTTATTAATAATAAATGTTTTACCCTATGATCTAAATAAATTCAGACCAGGCAATGAAAAACTCAACTTCTCTTTTTACAAAAGACAACTATTTGTGTGAGAAGGTCATTTATATAACCAAATCCAATACCCTAGTATTGTAAGCAGGGATTATAAGAAAGTTATTTGACATTTGAGAAAACGCATTCAATTCCTCTTTAATTTTTTTCTTCTTTCAAGGACCCAGCTACTTTGCCAACTCTATGTAGAAGCTGGGGATGGCTTCTGTGTTGCCTTGCACTCCACTGCTCCATGTAACCAAGGCGCTGTCTGTCTGTCCTTGTTCTCAACACCTGTCACAGGAGATAGTGCCTTCCCTCTGAAGCCAGCTGGTTTTAAAACAAACTCAGAGATGTGAAGTAGGGAGTTAGCATGCCTGCAGCATTTTCAGAAAGTCTCTTTTCCCCTCCTTAAAATACATTTTCCATCTCATTTGCCATTTTTAGAAGACACAGAGCCTCTGTTTAAATCTAAATTAATAGAGCCAATCTCTTCACAGATTTCAATGCAGTAAAAATGCAGTCTGCAAAATTACTTTTCACTGTACTGAGGACAATTTTAAATTTAGATAGTTTTCTCATTTTGCATGAGTAATCTCAAAAGCTTTGTGCTACAGACAATTCAATTTCACATGTATATTAAGGGCAAATTTTCATTTCCTGCCAAAGTTAATAACCTTGTCTGCTCTTTCAAAGTGGCTCGGTGTGAGTAATTCCACAAGCTGATGATCAGATGTACTGACTTTTAAGGTTTGCAGACAAGTGTACAGAACCACATATGTGGGTAAGAAAAAAAAAATCTCTTTTTCACAAATGATCAATGTCAAGAGCTTCTCCAGAATTAGGTCCTTAATAGGCTTCATCTCCACCCACATCACGCAACTGCAGGCGATCCATTTAAACTGTTACCTTTCATTTCGTCCTCCTGTACCCACTGCTGCCTCAACACCCTAATTAAGTTATGTAAGCACTAGGGCCAGATAATGACAGGACCAAGAGCTGAGAAAATACGGAGGGATTAAATACATGGTCAGTGATTGTTTTCCTTTTCACACCTTTGTCTCTCGCGATAAATAACTCCTCTTGGTTGAAATATTTAACACATAAAACCTATCAAGATTTACAATTGTAAAATTTCATGTTGCTTCTTATGAAAGGTTATTTCTCATGTTTTACAGTATTTCATTCATTCTTTTCTATTTCAACTTTAATTTATATTACTTTTCCTCTCTCCAGTATCTGCAATTCTAGTCCTCAGGTTCCTGCCCCCCACACCTTCTGCTCTGGGGCTCAGTGCTCATCTGGATTAGTCTTCTGCAGGCCGAGTTTACAGCATCTATCTGCCCTGTCAAAGCACCTATGGACCAAAGACTAAGTGATGAATGCTGCTGCCAATTACCAACAGTTCCTTTATATCCTTACAAGCCAGCCTGGGTCAGGAAAATAACACGAAAAGAGTAAGTCGAAGACACGTTATGGCTTATCAACAATTTTGACCTTATGTATTTGAATTTAATAATAGAAAAAAAAATGAGGGCATTAAGTGCTTATGGCCAAATGTTTTAAATGTGATCCTTATGATCCTCCAACTCTTGACAATATTCATGCATATAACATCACCTTCATGTAAATAACAAAGACTCAAAGATAGCTGTCATATAAGAAATAAAGGCACAGCTATAAGGGCTCTTAAGTTTTCTTAAGGGAAAACACTTCCAGAGCTCACACATATACTCACAGGCCTGGTCCCACTAACAGTTTAAAAAGCTTTTTAAAACGTCACTCTTATAAAAGTACATTCTTCATGGAAAAAGTCATAGAGTGCTGTAAGACTTACCATGCAAAACACCAGTCTCTTTCCTCTCCCCAGTCCCTGCTTCTTGGAGGCAACCAACCACTGAGTAATTTCGGTAACTTTATTATGTCACCAATTTCTAATTCTAAAGAATACAGCTTTCTTCAAAGCTGCACAAGCAGCAGAAGCTATATCACAGTGTCTTTTAGGCAAGTTTAAGATTTTGTGTTCCACTTGAACTGTAACATGTTAACATGGGAAGAGTATAATACTCGTGTTTTGGAAGTTTACTACAGGAACACTGGAAGGTTTGGAATAGGTGGTGCAGGATGCGCAGTTAGAATCAGGTTCAGGAGGAGACTGAGACATTCGGATAGGTATGGGACAGACAGAGGGAGAGTGAACTTGCAAGGCGCTTGTCTGGAAGGAAAAATCAACAGCACCTGCTGGGGAATGACTGAAAGGGAGACATAACCATGGTTCCACATGTCCAGCTTCAACAGCCAGAGGGACAATGACACCATCTATTCAAAAGGCAACACCTCTGTCAGGCCCAGGTCTGCAAGGGTGGTGGGTAGTTGTGTCCATGTGTAAACTCATCCCCAAAGATGATTCAGGTCTGGAAAGGACACTTAACATGAGAAAAAAATCACTTCCAGGATAACAGCCACCTCCACTTGTCACAAGGTCTGGTACAGGATGACACAGAGCATCACCTTTTAAATATTTTCCTCTTTCTACCACAGCATATGCTACTTCATTAAAATGTGGCAGACAATCAATTTTAGTTAAGTGCATTCTTGGGGCTTCAGTCTGAATATCAGATAAAATTTCTTTGTACACTTTTTGTCAAGAAAAAAGTAGGATAATGGAGATGGGTTTCCTTCTATTCTTTCATTTTTTTATTCTAGACCAGAAAATATTAAATGAGATTTAAATTTGATCTCATTTAATTGCAAAAATATGCCCCCAAATTATTTTAATTCTATAATTGTATTTTTAAAAGCCTTCCATTTTGAATCTGGATAATTTTGACATTTTCCTTAATATAAAATTAAGTTAAATATTGTTCTGTTTCTTAGTCTTACTCTACGGTGACTAGAGCTACTAAATTATGAAAATTAAGGCTTTCTGTTGAATTTTACTATCTTGTGAGATTTGCTCACATATGACTTAAGACATATGGACATAGTTTTAAAAAGAAAATAATCCACAAGAATAGGGCTATGAGAAATGTATAAAGCAAAATCTAACTATTCATTATTTCTCCATGAATCCTAAAGTCATTAAACACTATTTCAATAGTATTCAAAGTTCTGTGTTAACTGAAGTAGTAAATGATTCTGCTGCATTTCAAAAGCAGTTGCACTGAAAGACTATGCAAGTGGGTGCTGCTTTTCATTAAAACAAAACAAAAAGAATTTACCTATCACTTCCTTTGTGGTGTGAGAGGCCAAAGAAACCCAGACACCTATTACTATGATATTAGACTTCTGGAGCCTGCCTAATTGCTTTGGAACTGCAGTGTTAAGTGCTATAAAGTCTCTAATCATCAGTACCTATAGAAATGCAATTACAAGTAGACAAAATTTAGAATTCCGTTTCTCAGTCACACTAGTCCCATCTGAAATGTTCAACAGCTCCATGGGGCTAATGGCTCTTACAGTGCACTGCAGAATGTTCTAACAATGGGACTGTTCTAAAGGCCTGGGACAGATGTCATCCTACATAAAAACTTCAACAAGTCTGGCACAGCCTTGAAGTTCATCCTAGGCTTCTCCTGGTTTTTCAACATGAGTAGCTAATTAATTGAAAGAAAAAAATACCAGGAGTGCCAATAAGACTTCACTGTAATGGTGTCAGTCCTGGCTTTCAGTATGAAAGTTCTGGGGCAGATTGTTCTGTTCTGCTTCCTTCTACAGCTACTATTCTGAGAAGGGAGCGTAAACTGTTTAGGGACACTTCTAAATCCACAATTTCCTTACTCAGCTACTTATCCCCAGCAGTACTATAAATACAGCCAGCTGTTGGGAAATAATTAATACTAAGCCTTTGAATTTCTGAGGGATCATTAGTCCTATTCATCTTGACCAATCAAGACCTTGCTGTGTCTCAAATGCGTTTGGAGATGAAAATCTCCACAGATAAATTATTCTCTCAAAACATTTCTCTGTAATTCTGTGTTCCAAAAATTACTTAACATTTTTTCATTTATTTTCCAACCAGGCCACCACGGTATAACAACCTTTGCCCTGGTATTTCAGCTCTGCAAGGTTAGTTCTTCATAGATCAGGGGTTTTATAAGGATTCCTGTCATGTGCTCTGGTAAGAAAAATCATGGGCGGTCAATGCCCTGTAATTCTGAGAGATAGACACTACTACTTAAAGGAGGGGTAATGAGGTATTACAGTCTAAGTTCAAATAAATTGTTTCTGCATTGAAACTTCAAAGTTCATCATCAATTATTATGTTTTCTTCCTTTCTGATTTAGGGGAATAGAAGACATGGAAATTTTTTCTGATAACCCTGTAAGGTCTGATCACTTGCCTCTCCTCTGTTTGTATGCAGGAATACTTGGGCACATGCACTTCTGCTTCATCAACAAAATTACAGCTGTTATTAGGGCAGTATTTACATTCCAGTCACGGTTTTTTGTGCAGGACCAGGACATCTGTTCTGTTGTCAGATTAAAGCTGAGCATCACAAGCAGCCTGCATTTCCAAATATTCTGGTGCTTTTAATACAGGTAATCTGGTGGAAAACTAGTCATGACTTTGTCCCTTTAAT